GGGTTTAGGGGTCTATGTAGGGTTTAGGGTTTATAGGGTTTAGGGGTCTATGTAGGGTCTTCTGTTTATGGGGTTTAGGGGTCTATGTAGGGTTTAGGGTTTAGGGTTGGAGACAGACCGCTGCCGAGAGGCATGGTCAACCCTACGAACCTCGCCCGAAACCCTTGTAAACCTAAACCCTAAACCCTAAACCCTAAACCCTAAACCCTAAACCCTAAACCCTAAACCCTAAACCATGAGCCCTAAACCCCAAAACCCTGAGCCCTAATCCCCAAAACCCTGAGCCCTAAACCCTAATCCCAAAAACCCAAAACCCTAAACCCGAACTAATCCACAAAACCCTAAACCCAAAACCCTAAACCCTAACTAATCCACAAAACCCTAAACCCAAAACCCTAAACCCTAAAACCCTGAGCCCTAAAACCCTGAGCTCCAAACCTTAAACTAGAAAGGTATCTTGTTGGGAACCGCGGCCCCTGCCCGGCCGGACCGAAGTGCAGCCACCGGGCAGAGCAAGGGTAGGTTGGATTGGGGCTTAGGGTTCCGGGTTGAGGGTGGGGTTTAGGGTTTAGGGTTTAGGGTTTGGGGTTTAGGGTTAAGGCTTTGCGGCTGGGGTTTGGGGTTCAGGGTTCGTGGTTGAGGTTTTGAGGTTTAGTGTTCGGGATCGAGGTTTCGAGGTTGTCAGGTTTTGAAGTTTTGAGGTTTGGGGTTTGTGGTTTCGGGATTTGGAGCAGGGTTCAAGGTTTGGGGCGTGAGCTCTTTAGGTGTTTGAGTTTAGGCTGTTTAAAAGGGTTGTAAATTTGGGCACAGGCGCAGTGATATTATAGCGACGGTCGACAAGAAGAGTGGTAATAATCATAGAAAGGCGAGCAGCAATGGTCAGACTAGCATGAGTTGCAAAGATGGCCACTAGTAGCGGCTGGCGGTGCTGCTGCTACGAAGCATCAAATTTCACAGGAAGATAACCTACTCCAAGATAGCATGGCATGTTTGGGGATTCGTCGCCGTCCTTGCGAGCCGTAGCCGTAGCAGTAGCAGCATCAAGCGCATCAGAAATGTAGTTGCAAGTTGTAGTAATCAGAACACAGACATGGCAGTACTCATCCCTGACCCTAACTTTTCGCAGAATGCTTATCATGGCCATCATCGTCGCCATCGTCATAGCCATCATGAACAACAGTACCAAGCAGCGTTCACGAAAGAACTTCCCACTAGAGTCTGCTAATGTAAGCAACCGACACAGGACGGATGCTAATCACGTGTCAAGGCTTTGGGCAAGCCCTTTCCCCAACAACACCAGAAAACCCTAGGCCCTAAACCCTAAACCCTTCACCTTAAACCCTAAACCCTAAACCCTAAACCCTTCACCTTAAACCCTAAACCCTAAACCCTCAACCCTAAACCCTAAACCCGTACCCGAGGCTACTGTCACCTGGAGCACACCGAACGCCGGGTAGCTCTCGACAAGCGGCAGCGCGAGTTCCTTCGCAGGCCCCGAAATCCCTCGGTTTGGGGTGTAGGGTTTAGGGTTTAAGGTGTAGGGTCTTTAGGGTTTGGAGTGTAGGGTTTTTAGGGGTTTTTAGGGTTTAGGGTTCTCTAAACTCCGCAGTGCCGAATTCAAGCACCCCTAAACCCGTCAATTCCGACCCTAAGACCCTGGGACTTAGCAGACCCCGGCCCACATCTAAGAAATAGGCACTGAAGGTTTTCGGTTGAGTTCTGGCACACATTATTTGACTGGATCCGGATTCGAACGGCCGCTATCAACTAGAAGATATTAGAGTATATCATAAGATATCATTAGTTTTTCTAGAGCATACTATCAGCACACGGCTATCCTCGAACCCCAGAGCCGCCCCTAAACTCCAAGCTAACCGCACCGCAGGCTCACCGAAAGTGATTCCATCGCTGTGGTCCTTCCCCATCTTCGCGCTGCCTCCTCAGAGAGCGATGATCCATTGTAGTTCCTTTTTTGGTTTAACCAGTTTTATAAATAGGATCCTATAAGGTAACCCCCAAAAGGAACTACAATGGAGACAATAGGTAGGGCTTAGATTTGTTCCTGCCCTGGTTTCTGAAGTGTCGCATGTTGACTCACAGGTAATTAGCACTGGGCTACTGTACCTCTTGGGATGGTGGCCATGAACCTACATGAAAGTCCAGGTCACCAGAGGGCCTTTGCATTTTTGGAACTCCGCAGCACTGTGTGAAGTATCCTTCGGTTGTTCAGAGGCTCAGAGCGACGAAAGCGAATCCGACAGCGCCGGCACGCCGACATGCCGCAGCAGCCCGAAGCAAAATTTCTCCGTGAGCTGACCGAAGTCCCGGCCGGCTGGCCCCTGGCGACCGTCATCGACGCCTTCGTCCACTTGGCTTGTGATGCGGCGAGCCGAGCTCTTGAGGCGCTGAGCCATCGGCTCGTGGAGCTCTGGGCCTCGCAGCCGGCGGAGGCCGAGGCCTGGCTCCAGCGGTGCCGGGAGCGCTTCGCAACGGAGCTCGCGGGCCAGGCGACGAGGCCGGAGCAGCTGAGCGAGGCGCTGCTCCGGCACGGCGCGGCCGAGTACGGCAAGTACGAATACTGCGTTTCTCCGTGCTGGCGCTTCTGCGAGGCCGGGCTCCTGCGAGATGAGCCGTGCGGCTCAGCAGCGGACCGGGAGTACTGGGCGGCTGAGTACCTGCAGGATCCCGACGCCCGCCCTCGCTGCCGGGAGCTCGCGGAGCGGCTCGGGCAGGCCGAGAGCCAGGAGACGGCGCGGAAGCGGCAGAAGCTCGAGGAGGAGACCTCCGAGCGCCGGCGCCTCGAAGCGGAGCTCCAGAAGTCGCAGGAGGAGGGCCGAGAGCTA